CCCGGGTTCTCATCATCATCATTCTCCTGCTCAGCTCCGAGACGCTGGGCTAGCAGGCTCCCGCCACCAATGCCGGCCTAATTTTTGTATTTTAGTAGAGACAGGGGTTTTCTCACTGTGTTAACAGGATGGTGTCTTGATCGCCTGACTCGTGATCGGCCTGCCTTGGCCTCCAATCAGTGCTGGGATTCACAGGCGTGAGCCACCACGAGATCGCACCACTGCACTCCAGCCTGGGTGACAGAATGAGACTCCATCTCAAAAATAATAATAATAAAAATAAAAAACACATGAGAGATAGAAACAAAAGAAAAAAAAATGTTTTTTCTTTTGAAACGGAGTTTCACTCTTGTTGCCCAGGCTATGGTGGAATGGCGTGATCTCGGTTCACTGCAACCTCTGCCTCCCAGGTTCAAGGAATTCTCCTGCCTCAGCCTCCTGAGTAGCTGGGATTACAGGCACCCGCCACCATGCCCGACTAATTTTTTACATTGTTAGTAGAGATTTCACCATGTTGGCCAGGCTGGTCTGGAACTCCTAACCTCAGGTGATCCACCCACCTCAGCCTCCCAAAGTGCTGGGATTACAGGCGTGAGCCACTGGGCCTGGCCTACAAAAATTTTAATGGCGGCCGGGTGCAGTGGCTCACGCCTGTAATCCCAGCACTTTGGGAGGCTGAGGTGGGTAGATCACAAGGTCAGGAGATCGAGACCATCCTGGCTAACACAGTGAAACCCTGTCTCTACTAAAAATACAAAAAATTAGCCAGGCGTTTGGCGGGCGCCTGTAGTCCCAGCTATTCAGGAGGCTGAGGCGGGAGATTGGTGTGAACCCGGGAGGCGGAGCTTGCAGTGAGCTTAGTTGGTGCCACTGCACTCCAGCCTGGGTGACAGTGGGAGACTGTCCATAAAGAAAAAAAATTTAATGTCAGACGTAAATCCAACTATATCAATAATAATAATAAGTGTTAATTAATTGAGCAATCCAATCAAATCCAATCAAAAGGTAGAGATTGTCAGACTGCATTTATGAAAAAGACCCAGCTGTACCCTGGCTACAGAAGACAGTTTACATTCAAAGATACCATATAGCCGGGCACGGTGGCTCATACCTGTAATCTCAGCACTTTGGGAGGCAGAGGTGGGTGGATCACCTAAGGTCAGGAGTTCGAGACCAGCATGAGCAACATGGTGAAACCCCATCTCTAGTAAAAATACAAAATTAGCCAGGTGTGGTGGCGTGTGCCTGTAATCCCAGCTACTAGGGAGGCTGAGGCACAAGAATCACTTGAACCTGGGAGACGGAGGTTGCGGTGAGCCAAGATCACGCCAATGCACTCCAGCCTGGTCAACAAGAGTGAAACTCCGTCTCAAAAAAAAAAAAAAAAGATACACATAGACTGAAAGTAAAAGAATGGAAAAATATATACAAAGAGCAACCGTAAGAAAGCTGGAGTGACTGTACTCATATCAAACAAAACAGACTTTAAGTGAAAAGATGTAAAAATGATACAATTACTTTACAAAAGAGTTTGGCAATTAAACATAGAGTTACCATATTACCTAGCAATTCTACTCTTAGGTACATACGCAAGATAAGTAGAAACATTAAGGTCGCACAAGAATGTTCACAGCAGCATTATTCATAATAGCCAAAAAGTGAAGACAACCCAAATGTTCATCCACCAATGAATGGATTGTTAAAATGCGGTATATCTATACAATGGGATATTATTCAGCCACTAAAAATAAAGAAATGCTGACATGTGCTACAACATGAATGAACCTTGAAAATGTGCTAAGTGGAAAAAAGCTCTTGCAAAGGATGACAAATTGTATGATTCCATTCATATGAAATGTCCGTAATGGGTAAATTCATACAGACAGAAAGTAGATTGGAAGTTGCCTAGAGCTGGGAAAATTGGTGGGAAAAGGGGAGTGTTTGGAGATACAGAGTTTCTTTTTGGGGGTGATGAAAACGTTCTATAATTGTGGTAATGTTTGAACAGCTCTGCTTATATACTAAAAAAAGCATTGAATTGTATACTTGAAATGGGTGAACTATATATTTTGTGAATTATATCTCAATAATGTTAAAAAACAGGCAAAACTCTTATCTGGTGATAGAGATCTGATTGATGGTTACCTTTTGCAGGGTTATCAGCTTGGAGAACCAACATGAGGGAGCTTGCTGATGTCTTAGAGATGTTAAGTGTCTGATCTGGGTGATGATTACGTGGATGTACACAAGTATAAAGTTCTTCAAATTATATGCTTAAGATTTGTGTACTTTATGCAATACCTTAGCTGAAAAAAATATATTTATTTATTTATTTATTTTGACATGGAGTCTCACTGTGTTGTCCAGGCTGGAGTGTAGTGGCTCAATCTTGGCTCAGTGCAACCTCTGCCTCCCAGGTTCAAGTAATTTTCCGTCCTTGGCCTCCCTAGTAGCTGGGATTACAGGCATGGGCCATCACACCCGGCTAATTTTTGCATTTTTAGTAGAGATAGGGTTTTACCATGTCTGCAGGCTGGGCTCGAACTCCTGACCTCAGGTGATCCACCCGGCTTGGCCTCCCAAAGTGCTGAGATTATATGCACAAGCCACCACACCTGGCCAAAACATTTCAAAATGTCAGATTTAAATAATTTTGACTTAAAATATTGATATTAATTAGTTATAATTTTATTTTCTACTCAGTTTTAATAGATAAAAATATTCTATAAGTAAAATAATTTAAAACATAAAATAAATCTTTTTGAGACAGGGTCTTGCTTTGCTACCCAGGCTGGGGTGCAGTGCCACCATCTCAGCTCACTGCAGCCTCAACCTCCTGGGCTCAAGTGATTCAAGCAATCCTCCCACCTCAGCCTCCTGAATAGCTGTGACTGACTACAGGCACATACCACCAGGCCCAGATAATTTTTGTATTTTTTGTAGAGATGGGGTTTTGGCATGTTGCCCAGGCTGGTCTCAAACTCCTGGACTCAAGCAATCAGCCGGCCCCAGCTTCCTCGAGTTCTGGGACTATAGACATGAACCACCGTGCCTGGCCAGTAGTTTTTATTTTACATTTTTATATTGAGATTCTTATTTTTTTTTAATTTTTTGAGACGTCTTGCCCTGTCACCCAGGCTAGAGTGCAGTGGCACAATCTCGGCTCACTGCAATTTCCACCTCCCAGGTTCAAGCGATTCTCCTATCTCAGCCTCCTGAGTAGCTGGGATTACAGGCGCCCACCTCCCAGGTTCAAGCGATTCTCCTATCTCAGCCTCCTGAGTAGCTGGGATTACAGGCGCCCACTTCCCAGGTTCAAGCGATTCTCCTATCTCAGCCTCCTGAGTAGCTGGGATTACAGGCGCCCGCCACCACGCCCAGCCAATTTTTGTATTTTTTTTTTTTAAGTAGAGACAGGGTTTTGCTATGTTGGCCAGGCTGGTCTGGAACTCTTGATCTCAGGTGATCCGCCTGCCTCGGCCTCCTAAAGTGCTGGGATTATAGGCATGATCCACGGTGTCCGGCCTACATTGACATTCTTAAAGAAAATGTATTCAACATATGCAATTTTTGTATCCTTTATTTATTTGTTTATTTATTTACTTACTTTTTGAGATGGAGTCCTGCTCTGTCACCCAGGCTGGAATGCAGTGGCGCCATCTCGGCTACTGCAACCTCCACATCCCGGGCTCAAGCGACTCTCCTGCCTCCGCCTCTCAAGTAGCTGGGATTCTAGGCACCTGCCTGCACACCCGGCTAATTTTTGTATTTTTAGTAGAGACAAGGTTTATTCATGTTAGCCAGGCTGGTCTCGAACTCCTGACCTCAAGTGAGCCACCCATGTTGGCCTCCCAAAGTGCTGTGATTACAGGCGTGAGTCACTGTGCCTTGCCTGTACCCTTTAAATTTTACTACATCTAGGTAATTGCTGTAGATAGAATACAGATAAACAACAACTTTAATGATGATAACATAATTCACAATTTTGTTGAAATGGTAGTAAGATAAAAATTATGGAATAAATATAACAATATATAAATTACACTTTAAAAAATTTTATTTCTCATCCACACACCACTGGATTATCAGTGGAACACCTGGACACATGCAATAATATTTAAATTCTGTCGTTTTTCGACATTTCACTTCTCTTTCCAATCATATAAAAACTATAGCTTTACACACATTTTTCTATTTGGTTGCTATGAAAATTTACTTGTTGAGGTATGAGGCTATATTTTATTTGGTAGTCTGTGTTAATTTGATTTACAACTTTTATAGATTTTAGTATATGGTATGTGGGCCTCAATTTGTTCTTTTGATATGAATCCCAGAAATGTTATTGGTGGGCCTACACATAGCATGTGTGTTCTGCCTTATATTACAGTTTTCTATGTACTTTTTAACCCCCACTTCATTCTCCCACATACACACAAATAAACACACACATACTACTATAAAGCTCCTGAAGAACAGAGATGGTCTTACCCATTTTAGATTCTCCTGGGTCGTGTCTATCACAGTGATCGTAGGCACTCAATAAAAAGGTTTTGAATATCACGGAATCATGCGTATAGGAAGTGGGATGCACACCTCAAGAAATTTCTCCTAAATAGAATGGATTTAAGAAATCCAACAGGCAGAAATGATAGATGTTGAAACTCAAGTCTCTTTTCCTCAGGGCATATAAAGCCCCATAAGCAACAGAAAACAAGGTTAGCCAACCTGCCTCACTATTGGCGCAGTGGATGATTTCTGTAGGTGAGAGGGTCACTGACTCAGAGCTGAGCTGTCCAATGTGTGATAATGAGACATATGTCTTCTTGGCATATCTTTTAGAATGAGAAATAGGAAGACATTAAACTTCATACTTGGAGGTAAAAAGTCACTCTGTAGAACTGTATAAATTCCTCTTTGCAATATTCTAACAGTCCACCTGTTAGTTCCAGTAGAATGGAATCTAATTGTCTAGATTAGATTATCCAGTAAAAATTCAAGTAACAGTTGTGGTAATTTTAGCAATATAATGAATTGCCATCTATTGGGAAGTTAAGAGTCCCCCATAGGTTGGTTGGACTGAATAAATTCTAAATAACTATATCTATATAAAGCAACAATTAATTTCACCAAATAGCTATGATCCAGGTCTTCAAATTTCAGGTCAGGCAGATTTGCACAAACCTAAGATCATCTTCCTTCTGTGAGAAAACAAAATGTAGGTCAAAATTATGCTGGTGGCCGGGCGCGGTGGCTCAAGCCTGTAATCCCAGCACTTTGGGAGGCCGAGATGGGCGGATCATGAGGTCAGGAGATCGAGACCATCCTGGCTAACCCAGTGAAACCCTGTCTCTACCAAAAAATACAAAAAATTAGCCGGGCGAGGTGGCGGGCGCCTGTAGTCCCAGCTAGGCGGGAGGCTGAGGCAGGAGAATGGCGTGAACCCGGGAGGCGGAGCTTGCAGTGAGCTGAGATCCGGCCACTGTACTCCAGCCTGGGCGACAGAGGAGGCGGAGCTTGCAGTGAGCTGAGATCCGGCCACTGTACTCCAGCCTGGGCGACAGAGCCAGACTCCGTCTCAAAAAAAAAAAAAAAAAAAATTATGCTGGTGCCAGGCAAGAACAAGTTGGCTTCTCACCTACTTCCATCTTATCAAGTAAATTTTGTGACTTGAAAGGTTTGTATTGGAGATAATAGCAGGCAGGGGCAAAAGCATGTAAGTCAGAAGAAACAGAATGTCTTCAGGAAATAATAGTAATCAACTTGACCGGGAGACCCAGAGATTTTCAAACTTTTTTTTTTTTTTTTTTTTTGAGACGGAGTCTCACTCTGTCGCCCAGGCTGGAGTGCAGTGGCCGGATCTCAGCTCACTGCAAGCTCCGCCTCCTGGGTTTACGCCATTCTCCTGCCTCAGCCTCCCAAGTAGCTGGGACCACAGCCACCCGCCACCACGCCCGGCTAGTTTTTTGTATTTTTTTAGTAGAGATGGGGTTTCACCGTGTTACCAGGATGGTCTTGATCTCCTGACCTTGTGATCCGCCCGTCTCGGCCTCCCAAAGTGCTGGGATTACAGGCTTGAGCCACTGCACCTGACCGATTTTCAAACTTTTTTGTCCAAATAGCCTCTACAGAGAAAGGATAAATTTGAATGCCCCACCTGCCAAGGAATGTAGGCATTTGGCCCCATGTCCCCACTTAGTCTGTTTTATCTTTTATTTTTATTTTTTTGAAACAGGATCTTACTATGTTGCCCAGTCTGGAGTGGCACTTTCATGGCTCACTGCAGCCTCTATCTCCTAGGTCCAAGCAATCCTCCCACCTCAGTCTCTTAATTAACAAGGACTAAAAGTGCGCACCACCATGTTCAGCTAATTTTTTTTTTTGTAGTGATGGAGTCTTGCTATGTTGCCCAGGCTGGTCTTGAACCCCTGGGCTCAAGCAATCATCCTGCCACAGCCTGCCCAAGTGCTGGGATTATAGGCATGAGCCACTGCATCCTGCTTATTTTATCTTTGAAATGGATGTAAATTTTGCATTCTAGTCTATCGTATCAATGGTACTATAAAAAATGTTTAAAGGTCTATCAGTAGAGGAGAATACAAGTTTCCTATTTGTATTCTTGGTTAATAGACTTTCTAGGGGAAAACAGATTCCTGTTGGTTTTACTGGCTCATACATATGACCAAGCCTTTTATTTATTTATTTAGAGACGGATTCTTGCTCTGTTCCTCAGGCTGGAGTGCAGTGGTGCAATCTTGGCTCACTGCAGCCTCTCCCTCCTGGGTTCAAGCAATTATCCTGCCTCAGCCTCCCAAGTAGTAACCTCCCAAGGCACCCGCCACCACGCCTGGCTAATTTTTTGTATTTTTTAGTAGAGACGGGTTTTCATCATGTTGGCCAGGCTGGTCTTGAACTCCTGACCTCAGGTGATCCACCCACCTCGGCCTCCCAAAGTGCTGAGATTACAGCCTTTTATAGGCCCGCCTTTTATATAAATGTATGTTTTTTTCAAATTTTATGAAAATTATCATAAATATAAGAATGTATGCAACATAAACATATATTTTAAAGATTAATCATAGGACTAAATTTCTCACCATGTCTTCTCACAAGACTTTCAGGATCAAGTAATTCCTGGCCAAGAAACAAAAGCAAAACTGTCTCATTCCCCAGTGGATTTGGATGAAAACTGGTAATCAGCTACAACACCAAAAGGACACATTGGAGAAGAACCAAGCTGGGTCTATAAGGATTTGCACATGGGATGGCACACACATCCATTCAGTATCAAGGTCACTATCATCTGATCATATCAAGCTGGAAACGTCACCACTATCTGTACAGTTGGACATGTTTAACTGCAAAAATTAGTATTGATGAATATGCTCTGCACTACCAGGCTGGTTCAGTAATAAATATGTAAAACCTTTTGTTTGAAAAAAAAAAAAGAGATTAGCAATAAACTGAACTTAACCAACAGCTGACTCCATTTTAAATTAAAGAGGAGAAAAGGTGTTTGCCTACTTGGAATACTATAAACCAGTGCTTCTCAAACTTTAAAATACATACAAACTACCCCGCGTTTCCCCTATCTTGTTAAAATGCAAATTCTGACAAGTGGAACTGAGGTTCTTATTTCTAACAAGCTCCCAGCTGATGTCATTGCTGTTGGTCCTAGGACCATACTTTAAGCAGCAAGGCTATAAAGCAAACAGGCCCTTTAAGTGCCTTGTACCTTCTTAAATTTCCCTGCACTCCCTAAAATGTTTTTACATTGCTATTAAGTCTGTAATTCCACTAATTACATTTCTGTAAAATGAGCTGTGGATTTATTCACAACTTAATATTAATTCTTTTAATCGAATAGTTTTCCTCATCATATCCACTGAGTTGAGAACTTCAAGAATGAACATTGGTTTTTATAAAGAAGAAGGAATTTTAATAATGAGGCACTGTGTACTAAAGAGTGAACAAAACAGTGGGCACAAGGGGGTTAGAAGGAGGTGGGTGTTTGGCAGCTTGCAGTGTATTGTGAAAGCAGAGACACCTGGGGTCAGGGCAAAGGCGCTATGAGGAAGTAGGAGGAGGTGAAGAAAGAGAGGTGTGAGGCTACCTGTACAAACATCACAGTTTTAGAAGCCTTGCCTCGGGCCAGGCTGAGGAAATCTAATGATCTCAATAAAAACAGCAAGCCTATTCCTAACTTTTTATAGAAAGGTAGTAAGATCCATGTGTATATCAGTAAGGATTATTGTTTTTTCTTAATTTGCGTATGCAGTTGTGAAATGCACATTTTGCTAAATGCACAAGCCAGTTGAAACTGTAGCAGATGTCCTTTAATAAAAATTAAAGATGTCAAGACAGGATTTAGAGCTCAAGTGAAGACCAGTGAATGGTCTTAGAATAATAATGCCTAAATCAGAGATCTTTAAACAAGCAGATTTAATTGGATTGCTCAGTGTCATTCAGGTAGTTGATGAAATAGCCTGAACTTGAATACCAGGACTCTTGACTCTTCATCAAGTGCTTTTTTTTTCTTCTATCATCAAGTGCTTTTTTAATACCACACACTAGTTCAAAAGTCTAAGTTAACATTTCCCCAGGCCGGGCGCGGTGGCTCAAGCCTGTAATCCCAGCACTTTGGGAGGCCGAGATGGGCGGATCATGAGGTCAGGAGATCGAGACCATCCTGGCTAACAAGGTGAAACCCCATCTCTACTAAAAATACAAAAAATTAGCCGGGCGTGGTGGCAGGCGCCTATAGTCCCAGCTACTCGGGAGGCTGAGGCAGGAGAATGGCGTGAACCCGGGAGCTGGAGCTTGCAGTGAGCTGAGATCGCGCCACTGCACTCCAGCCTGGGCCACAGAGCCAGACTCGGTCTCAAAAAAAAAAAAAAAAAAAAACATTTCCCAAAAGGCTTCATATTTTGGTTTCAGTAAGTTCTTTTTAAAAATGTGTGGAAGCAGACTGGGCGCAGTGGCTCACGCCTGTAATCCCAGCACTTTGGGAGGCTGAGGCAGGTGGATCACCTGAGGTCTGGAGTTTGAGACCAGCCTAACCAACATGGAGAAACCCCATCTCTACTAAATATAAAAAATTAGCCAGGCATCGTGGTGCGCACCTGTAATCCCAGCTACTCAGGAGGCTGAGGCAGGAGAAATCGCTTGAACCCAGGAGGTGGAGGTTGCAGTGAGCCGAGATCATGCCATTGCACTCCAGCCTGGGCAAAAAGAGCGAAACTCTGTCTCAAAATAATAATAATAAAATAAAAATGTATGGAAGTATTTTTGTGCTTAGTGATCTTATATTTTAATGGTTCAACTAATTTCCTTGTTGCTGTGTTTGGTTTTTGTTTTTGTTTTTTATGGACCTCATCTGACTGGCATGATATATTTTTTAAGGGGTCTGTTTTCATTTCTAGGAGACCCATACAATTTATTGCATATAAAGTCAAAACAGAAATAAATCAATTTATTTTCAGAACATATTCCAGGTGACATCAGGAGCATTTGTTTTGAGAAACAATAAACCCTATTCCCCTGTCTCAAAAATAAGCCCAGTTTTCTTTCAAAATTCCTCCACCTACCATGTGAATACTCTGGATTTGGACAACAAAGGCTGGATTTGGACAACAAAGGCAGATGTGAAATAGACAATGGAGCCAAATGAGATAGACCTGTGAGTCCCGACCTGGGACATTACCCCACCTGCCAGCTTTACCTACTTGGCTAGGACACACCTTGAAGCACCTGGAAGGTAAATATTGAACAAACGAAAGATAATACCATGCCATCATGCAGGTCATAAAGCAGTGATATTTATTACCAGAAATGACACAAACTAATATGTTTCCTTGCCAGGCTGTATCTTACCCTTTATCAAAAATGCATTATGATGTTATACTTTTACACACCAGTGTGAATTTAACTCAATTTTTTGCATTTTCTAAAACAGTTTGGATATTATACCTCAATGCTACTCTAACAGTGATGGAAAGACAAGGTTTCCAGTCTTATCTGTTATTGTAGAGGGAAAGAAAGCTTTGTTTTTGTAGAAAGGAGTTTTCTAAAACCCCTGAAATCACAATGGGTAGAGAACAGAATTTTCTGACATCCCAATTATAGTGTCATAGAAGTCTTAGGCAGATTTGTTACTTCATGGGTGCTATTCTTAAGGAGTTATTAAGAGAATTAGAATCTCTTAATTAGGATCTCATAACCTTGCAGTTGAATTTACAAAAGAAAACTGCTCACAAAACATTCTTTAGTGTAAATATTAGACTCAACACTTGCATGGATGAATCACAAATGTTTCCCATAATAGCAAATAAAATTATAGAATCAAAGAGATTACCTAATACAAACTTGCATTTGATAGATGAAACAAATCTTTATGTTCTTGTATACTTGATGTCCTGCCATTAATGAAATAAGTAGAATAAAAAACCAAAATATACAGAAACCATAAGAAAGGAAAAGAAGTCTGAGCCCAGGGAAATATCCCAGTTTTGCATTTCATGATTATTATATCCCTATAATTGTTATCATCCTATAAATTTGCAGGTAATTTTGTAACCATTTAATGCAAAGACTTTTTTTTTTTTTTTTTTTTGAGACTCTCACTCTGTCGCCCAGCCCCAAGACTGTTTTCTTTTTTTCTGGAATTTAGCTTCAGCTGAGCTGAAACTTAAAGCTAAACTTACTACCCAAAACTCAATAGTGACTCACTGTAGTTAAGGAGAGTATAAATAAAGAAAATAATCATAGGCACCTGCAGGTGCTAAGACAATTAAGAGAAACTATAAATGTTATTCACATTGAAATTCATCAGCAACTCAATACAGATGCATGTATTGTTTCTTAAGAAATCACAAAGTAGGCCAGGCATGATGGCTCATGCTTGTAATCCCAGCATGATTGGGAGGCCAAGGCAGGTGGATCACCTGAGGTCAGGAGGTCAAGACCAGCCTGGCCAATAGTGAAACCCCATCTCTACTAAAAATACAAAAATTAGCCAGGCATGGTGGCGCATGCCTGTAATCCCAGCTACTTGGGAGGCTGAGAGGGGAGAATCGCTTAAAGCCCGGAGGTGGAGGTTGCAGTGAGCCAAGGTCACCCCACTGCACCCCAGCCTAGGCAACAAGAGTGAAACTCTGTCTAAAAACAAAAAAAAGAAAGAAGTATAGAATGAGTCAGTGTTCAATAAACAGTAGAAAATAACAGATCTAAGGGAAATTTTCTGTGTTTAAAATTTTTACTTTCTTTTTTGCCTCAAAGGATGAAAATCACTTCTTTTTTTTTTCTCTTTTATAAATGCTCCCTTTAATTAGTGTTCAGATAGTATGTATAGTGGTGACAGTCCTACATTTCAGACACGTATTCAAATAGAGAAGAAAAATGCAAAGTTCTTGCCAATTTCTAGATGAAGTTTCAGCAGTTTTACTTTTTAGGCACAATGAAAATGGTTCAAGTTGGCTCAGGAATATATGTTATGCTGATTAAAGATTTACTAGATTTATGATAAAGAATTTCCTTGAATAATTTAAAAGAAAAAGATGCTAATTTCTAGAGAGTATTTTATATTTGGTCGATCAAATCTCTATGTAGCAAAATAATTTGCACTCTCCAACTGTGGCAGATTGTTATAATAATAACTCCTAAAGTATTATGAGTCTCATGAATCCTTGTTTTCATGACCTGTGACATTGCCTCTCCTTCCTTAAAAGGTAGACTCTTACTCTATGGCCTAGAATCTAGACAGGCCTTGTGATTTGCTTTGACCAATAGAATGTGGCAGAATGATGTCGTGTGAGTGCTGGAGTCTGAGCCTGAAGATTCTTGGCAGCTTCTGCCTTTGCTGTTTTGGAACAAAGTTTAACTGGCTGCTGGTTGCTGAATGATGGGAACCCACATGGAGAGAAAAATCTCAGCCTTGCAATTATCCCCATCAAAGTCAAGGAACAATGAGCCATGATCATGATCTTTAGATTGCATTTTTTGCTAAATGTGAAATATATATCTTGTATAATACACATGTAAATAGAATAGGTTTTCCCCTGAGATCTTAGAAGAGAATGCCTATAGTATTTAATAAGCCTTGGTATCATTCTGTAAAAACAGCAGGAGGTAAAGGTTAACCATGTTGCATCATTATTTAAAATCCTGACCCGGCACACAACGGCTCACACTGGTAATCCCACAGCACTTAGGAGGACTGTGGTGGGAGGATTGCTTTGAGCCCAGGAGTTCAAGATCAAGCTGGGCAACAAAGTGAGACCCCTGTCTCTCCAAAAAAAAAAAAAAAAAATTAGCCAGGCATTGTTGCGTGCAACTATAGTTCCAACTACTCAGGATGCTAAGGTGGGAGGATCCTGATACACAATGAAGTCTGAGAACCACTGAGCTGAGAAAATAGCTAGTGTTAGCTAGCAAAATACTCAAGTGGGCAGCCCCAAAAGTTGATGAGTCCACTCTTGCTA